GTCCCTGGCGGCCGGGCTCCCCCTGGTGGTGGCGGGCCGGGGACCCTAAGGCTGCAGGGGCGGGGCGGGGCGGGAGAAGGGGGTGCCCAGAAACGGCAGGCTGGGCCGGAGGCTGGAGACGTGGCACCTTCCTGAGATGAGAGTGGGAGGTGGTGTCAGGGGTGGCGCCTTTGGGGTGGGCTTCCCAGGGTGCATCCCAGCCTTCCCCCAGCGGCCCACCAGGGTAGGCCAGTGAGGGGGGCGGGAGCTGTGCTGGGAGGCTGGCAGTGGGGGGCGGGCCCGGCTGTGGGTTTGAGCTGGGCTGCTCCCCACGTCTACCCTGTGGTCCGAGCCACGGCTGCTTCTGAGAATCTCTGCCCTCAGGCCTGCCACGTCAGCTGGCAGCTCTCCTCGGTCCCACATGTTCCTGGGGAGCCCACCAGCTCGAGAGCGTCTGTAGGGAGCCCTGCTCCCCGGCCTTCAGGGTGCGGAGAGAACCAGGGATTGGTGCCTGCAGTGAGACCTGCTGGGCAGGATGAGTACCCTGCCCAGGTAGGAGTGCCAGGTTGTGTGGAAGGGAAGTGACGAACTGAGAGCAGAAAGCTAGCAAAGGAGTGCGTGGCTCTGACTCCAGTCCCAGGTTATACAAGTCCCGGCAGGGAACCACCACCACTGCTGAGTCAGCCTCTCAAGCCCCTGGTCACTGCCCTGGGCTGTGCTTTTGCCTGAAAGCCTCAGAAACTCGCCTTCAAAATGAGATGGCCACGGCAGGCTCCTTTGCAGGCTGTGGTCGCAGTGACCTATGCAGTGTGGTCACTGTGGGTTGCAGGAAATGAGAGGTTTAGGGAACTCTGTCATCTTCCGAAGGGTAAAAGAAAACAGCGATAATAACTTTGATCTCAATGCTCGCGGTGTGCCAGGCACTCACCCGTCTCCTAGGATGAGATAATGGTGGTATCCTGTTGCACAGATGAGGTGCCAGAGCCAGGGCAGGATCGGGCAGCCATTCTTGGAGATCTCGGGGAGGATGGAGGTGGCACCAGGGCTGTGGTGGGTCTGGACCTCCCTCTGGGAGAGGGTCTGAGAATGTGACATGGGCCCGCTGGCCCCTCAAGGCTTCGTGGCTCCTGCAGAAGGGAAAGTGGGGCCAGAGAGGAAAGCAGCATGTCAGGGCCTCCCAGCAGGACAAAGGCATGTCTGGGAGGTAGAGGCTTCAACACAGAGAGACCACAGCGGAAACGCGATGCAGGGACTTGGGATCAGCATCACGCCATTGGACCAGGGGCTCTGTCTTGCTGGCAGAGGCCCTGCTATCCTTGTTCAGGCAGGTGGAGCTGTTCTTCCCCTCCTCCCCCCCCATCTGTTCCCTCCTCCCGTTGGGGCCCAGGGCTCCCAGAGTGGAAGCAGATGTTCCAGTGCAGAGCAGCCGCTGTCGCCCTGCACATCTCGGCAATTACTGCCTGCCCGCTGGGGGCCCCGCAGCTGCGCCCCGAGGCAAGGGCTGCAGACGCTTCTTCCTTGGTGGTGGGAAGAGGCATGGCCCGGTGGGAACACTGAGGGCGCTGCGGGGATCCTTTGTAGGTCCCTCTGGTCCCACTCAGCTGGAGAAAGGAGCGCCTGGTGGGCCTGCCGTGGGTACGAGGCTCCTGATGCCTTCTGCTGGCTGAGTCCCCCCACCCCCTCCCCGGCACCTCTGCAGCAATCCGGATGGAGCTAGTGATGCCCCCTTCTCTGAAGGGAAGGTGCAGGGCTGGGTGGGGAGAACTGGGTGCCTAGGATCAGCAAGGTACAAGCAAACTCCAGGCCAAGTGCCAGCCTATCTAATAGGGAAGCGTCATCAGGTGCCAATGGAAAAGGAGCTCCGAGGACACCTCGCTTGTGGGCTGCCTGAGAACCAGGGTGTCCAACTGGATAGAGCCCATGGCCCCACCCAACTCTGCCCCCAACCCCCGTGATCTATGGTAGCTCCTCCTGGGCCATGCCTGTGACTCTGTCCTGTGCTCTCCCCTGCTTTCTGCTTGGCTGCCAGCACCACACCCTTGTCCTGCCCCTTAACCCCTTCCCTCTTTGAGTCACAGCTGTGGGAAGGACTAAGGGGCTGCTCTGAGGCCAGGGATGGGGGCTCTGTGACTTTGTCCACCTGTTCCCTTGCTGAGGGCAAAGAATATGTCCTCCTCTTTGAAGGGAGAAGAAGCGAGACTGAAGCTCAAAGGGGACAGGGGAAGGGCCCTCAATGTCTGCCCGGTCCACTGCTACTAGGAAAATCAGATGCAAAGCAGGTTTGTGCTGGCGTCCTCATCTCTGGGCAGGGTCACGGAGTGGTCCATGCCTTTTACCAAGAGAGTAATCACAGGACTAGACAAGGAGGCTGGTGCCTCAGGTGCACAGTGGTCCCCAAATCACCCCCACCTGAGGTCCCCTGTGCCCCGGAGAGCTGCCCCCTCTGAGTCTTGGATCACCTGACTGAGGACAGCGTGATCCATGTGACCCATCACTTCACACCCTCGGCCTCCGCTCCTGCGTTGGGCTGCCAGTCCTGGCTGGGACTCGTGGCTCCTGGGTCTTCCTTTGCCCCAGGCTGTCCACCCTCCCTCCTGCTCTCTGGGAGCAAGTGACTAGGTGGGAAGGACAGTCAGATGTCCCCTGGCCTTCGTTTGTGGTCGGCCAGTCCAGCGCTGTCCTCCCTGCCCCATGGATTTCTGGGCCTTGGGGGAAGAGCCTCCATGATTCGGCGTCACCAGGGCCTTCCTAGGCCCTCTCCCCTTGGGCCCACTCCACAGGTGGGGGTGTTAAGTGAGGGGTCCTGTCCTGGCCGCTCCCCTGCCAGCCCTATGGAGAGGAATGCTGCCCCTGACCACAGCCCACGCCCAGGGGAGATACACTAGGACTGGGGCCTCCAGTGCCCAGGGGTCGAACCAGTAGAGGGGCTCACACCCCAGCCTGCCTATTTGTGCTGCTCCCCCCGCAGCGCTCCCTGATCCTGGGAAGCAGGCCTGGGACAGTCAGAGAAGCCCAGTGATTCCAGGCGGCATTTGTGAAGTGTCCTCACAGAGGCCCCTGGCTTGTGGCTGCAATCCACACCTCAGTTTCTCCTGGTCAGTGTGGATGTGTGGTGGGAGGTAGGATGGATACAGGTGGGCAAAGACCCAGAGCTGGCAAGCAGGGTCTGATGCTGCTTGGAGGGCAGTGCGGAGACTTGGACCTGAGACTCTCTGGGCATGTGGGATAGTGCTAGGAGGCAAGGTGGGCCACATGCAGAGGAGCTGTAACCATTTGATACCGGTGTCTCTCAGTTTCCGCGCCCCCCACCCCCCAACCTTAAAAAAAAAATGTTTTGGCCATGTCCCACAGCATATGGAAACTTAGTTCCCCGATCAGGGATCAAACTCATGCCCTCTGCATTGGAAGCGTGGAGTTTTAAACCACTGGACCACCAGGGAAATCCTTCAGTTTCCTCATTTGTGAGGTGGAGATGAGGGTAGAGCTGACTTACGCCCGGGGCTTGTTGTGAGACCACCTAAAGAACGGGGTCTTAGAATAGCAACTGACATGTAGGGGGCACGATTCATGGCTGTGCTGAGATCATCATTGCTGACATCCATGCTGCTCGTGGCAGTGTGTGTGTTAGCCCCTTCATCCTCTGAGATTCTTAACCATCCCTGAGGGATATATGGGGGCGAAGAGTTCCCAAGGGTGACTTCCCCCACAGACCCCACCACCCACCCTACTGAGCTGGTCAGAGAGACAGACCCACAACAGTGATCAGGAGGGTTGGGACACGTGTAGGTGGGACATTGGGCAGGTATGCCCGGCAGAGAAAACTCCTTGGGCAAAGACCTGGAGTTGGCAAGAGGTAGTGCCTGGCAGTGCTGGGACAGAGCAGGGGTGCAGTCTGGGCAAAGGCTGGGGGAAAGCTGGGCTCTGCTGAGGTGCACTCTCCCTGGAGCTTAGGACAGGGAGCGGCCAAAGGGAAGCGGTAAGGCCCTGTCCCCACCCCTAGCCAGGAGAGGAGTGGCCTTCCTGGTCTCACACTTCCCTGCACAGACTCCCTTGGGGAATTCAGGTTTCTGGGCTGCACCCCTTGAGATCTGGCTCTGTGTCTGGGATGGAGCCTGGGAAGATGTTTCATTTAAAAAAAAAAAAAAAAAAAAACAAAAGACATTGTCCTGTAAGATCTGAGCCATATTTTGAGTAGGGCTGGGCAGGTCAGGCATCACTATCCTACATACCTCCTTGCTCTTCTGAATCCTGGCTACATGGTCTTGGGCCAAGACTTTTCTGAGCCTCAGTGTCCACATCTGTAAAATGTTAGAAATAGTACCTGTTTTGTGGGGCTGCTCCGACAGTCACCGGAGCGAATTCCTCAGCATTGGTCAAAGAGAAATACAGGATGGGGCTCTGCCAGGCTGGGGAAGAAGCATCACGAGTTAGTACGTGTGTGTCTGTGACACTGCCTGTCCCCAGGTCCTGGTGTCCTTTCTGCCTAGAGGAGACCTCGGCCCCGCAAGCAGGGTGCTGGGCCTCGGCCGTGTCTGGAAGGCAGGAGTGTGACGCCATGCCCAGACCCAGGCCGCACGGCAGCTGCGGCTCACGGTGTAGGGAGAAGAGTAAGCAGGGCTCCTCTGCCCGCTCTGGCCCGGTGCCACGTTGGGGAGCACTCTCCGCGGAGTGGTTAGCCTGCGTGTGCGAGAATGACAGGGTGACTGCTGAGCCCCAGGTCTCCAGCCAAAGCCCCTGGACTCAGCCAGGGCAGTGGGGAACCACGTTGAGCAACAGGCCTGTGGGAAGCCAAGGCCTGGAGTGAGTCCACCATGGGGTGCAGGTGGCCTAGGTTGTCTTCACCCCATGGCCCTGCCAGCCGCACCCCCAGTAGCTCTGCTGCCCACCAGGCCTGACTGCTTCCATCTGCAAGTGAAGAGAAGGATGGGTCCTGCCTCCCGGGCCACATGGCCGGGCCGCTAGTTGCTGGCCTCTGTGTCCCCACTGGGCCTGCTCCCTGACCCCCGTGTCCTTTGTTCCAGGTGCTGGGGAGTCAGGGAAGAGCACCATTGTCAAGCAGATGAAGTAAGTGCTGTGTGCGGGAGACAGCCTGCAAACCTTGGTTTCCCCCCTTCTTCCTCAGGGTCTGTACTGCCCCCAAGTGTAGGCCCAGCCCGTGTTAGCCAGGCCCAGCAGTTTCCCAGAGGCCACATTCATCCTGTGCTCCCCAGTGGTTCAGAGGCAGTCCCCTCCTGTCTGAAGTAGCTACTGCAGGCCCCCGTAGCTCCAGACGCCCATGTGGGGGTCCCCGTGCCCGATACATCCTAACCCTGGCCCCCTGGCTGCCAGGATCATCCACGAGGATGGCTACTCAGAGGAAGAATGCCGACAGTACCGGGCAGTTGTCTACAGCAACACCATCCAGTCCATCATGGCCATTGTCAAAGCCATGGGGAATCTGCAGATTGATTTTGCTGACCCCTCCCGCGCGGTACGTGGACTCCCCAGCCCCTGCCTGCCTCCCATAATGCTTCAGGGCAAGCCTTGTGCAGGGGGAGCTGAGAACACCCCAGTCTGGGCCCCCTTCCGGAGGCCTCCTCCCTGCCTCTGAGTAGTGGGGTGGGTGTGTGCTCCTGCAACGCGCTGACTGCTTACCGCTGTGCCCAGGACGACGCCAGGCAGCTGTTTGCGCTGTCGTGCACGGCTGAGGAGCAAGGCGTGCTGCCTGAGGATCTGTCCGGCGTCATCCGGAGGCTCTGGGCTGACCACGGGGTGCAGGCCTGCTTTGGCCGCTCGCGGGAGTACCAGCTCAACGACTCTGCCGCCTAGTGAGTACTCATTCCATGGGGCCGGGCTGGCGGTGGAGCTGGAGGAGACCTGGACTATAGCCTGAACCCAAGGTCCTGAGCACCCTCAGGAGGATACGATGAGTTTCTGCACTGTCAGCCAGGGTCTTGGTGGTTTGGGTTTGGCCTGGAAGAGGGATGTGGGGAGACACCCATGGGCTCTGGGTGGGCTCCCTCCCTGGGGAGACATCTATGGGCTCTGGGTGCCCCCCCCCCCCCAAGATAGGCTGCGGGCCCTGTATTCTCACCTCCTGTCTCCTACCTCTGTCTAAGCCAGTTGCTCTGTCTGAGCAGCTTTCCCACTCTCACTGCACTTCCCATCCTGAGCCCACCCAGAGAGGGGCTGGACCTCCGTGAAGCTGGGTGGGAGGCCGGTCTTGCCTGGCCGTGATTCCTGAGCCCTGTCCCAGTCACGTGGACAGCCTCCCACCCTCCCTGCAGTGGCCTGAATGCACTTGTGAGAGCATGCTCCCCCATAGGAGTGGCGGAGTCACAGCCACACACGATGGGGTAGGGGGCTGGGGGGGCGGTTTACTCCCACAGGTCATAGGCTCTCAGTGCCAGCAGCGCTTGGGGTCCTGCAGGCAGGGAGTGGTGGCTCCTATAAACCCCTGTCATCTCAGGGCCTGGGATACTCAAGGAGGGCCTGTTCACGACCACCCTCTGGCCCCTTCCCACTCCTGTGTCATCCATGTCCTTCATTCCCCAGACATTAAGCACCCACTGCGTGCCCAGTGCTGTTCTGGGTGTGGGGATTCAGCAGTGAACATGGGCCCTGCCCTCCCAGGCAGGTTTATGCTGCAACGAGATCACCCAGGGTTGGGGAGCAGATTGGAACACCTTTGGGTCCAGGGATCCTCCAGCCCCTCCTCACAGCAATCTTCCAAGGCTGCCCTGGGGCCCTGGGGCCCTGAGGTGAGCCCCCCTGTTGCAGACAAGGGAAGAAATGGTGTGGAATTCACCATGAGGCTGGAGGCTCTCCGTAGGGGGCGGGGTAGAGTTTGCAGGTCACAGCACATGCGTCACGGTTCCCCATAGCCCTTCCTGTTTTTCTTTTCGGTCTGTGAGTCTCTGAAGTCATTTCCCTCTGGCCTAGCTGCCTGTGGGGGAGCCAAGCCCCGCACCCAGCAGCCCTGCCCTGAGAGCAAGACATTGGTCCTGGGCAGTGACTGGGAGGCCTAGACCCAAACCCCGAGGGCACAGCCAGGATATTGAGGCAGGCAGCTGAGCTACCAGGGTGGCATTGATACTAATTAAGAGAGCTGGTAGTGGGGAGCCCTTGGGACCCCTGCCAAGCTAGTGGTTATGCCCTTCCCCTGAGGAGCCCAGATTTTGCTGGGCTCTGGGCAGAGAGCCCACTGGGCCTGGCAGGCCTCAACCTGTCCAGCCCCGCGGCAGGGGAGTGCCAGGCTGCTCTGTGGTGGGCGCCGTAATTGCGCCGATTAGCATCCTGCATCCCTCCCCGAAGCCCTGATTCGCCCCCTCCCCGCCACCCTCGCCTGCAACTCTACCACGCTGGATCCTGTGTGAGGCAGGCCTGCCTCCGACCTGGGTGCTGGGGCTTGGCTGGCTGGCCTCAGAGCTGTCCCTCAGCTGAGCGGTGAATGCAGCGCAGGCAAGGGTTAAAGAGTCAGATAGCCAATGGGAGTTTGCTGTAAGACCCCAGGGAACTCAAACCTGGGGGCTCAGTAATGCCTAGAGGGGTGGGGTGGATGTTCAAGTGGGAGGGGACATGGGTAAACCTATGGCTGATTCATGTTGATGTTTGGTAGAAACCAACACAATACTATAAAGCTATTAACCTTCTATTAAAAATAAATAAAGAAGAGTCAGGAGCTATGCCTGAGATATAAAGAGATGGAAGGGCAAGGGGCCAGTTGGCCCCCACTGACACCCTCCTCCCCACCCCAATACCCCTTGGCAGCTACCTGAATGACCTGGAGCGCATCGCCCAGAGCGACTACATCCCTACACAGCAGGATGTACTGCGGACTCGAGTGAAGACCACGGGCATCGTGGAGACGCACTTCACTTTCAAAGACCTACACTTCAAGTGAGCGGGCTTGTGGGCTGGGTAACAGGGCTAGGAGCAGCCAGCCTTGGGGGTGATGGGTGGAGATCCTCACACCGGGGCCTGCTGAGGGCTGTGCTGGGCAAGAAGGTTCATCTGGGATTCCCCAGCCCCATTCTGAGTTCCTTAAGGCTGTGTGGTGGCCAGCACCTCACCGCCTCTGCTGACCCGGCCCTGTGTGGCAGCCACCTGCCCTGCTGACCAGCCTCACTCACTCTGCTGGGCCAGAACTGGGGGGGAACGTGGGCCAGTGTGGGTGATACCATGGAGGCAGCTGCCTGACCCTGAGCAGGCCTCTGTCTTCAGTCGGTCAACCTGTGAAACGGGGCAGGGAGCTTCTCCCAGAACTCCCTTCTCTGGAGCTAAGACGCTGTGTCCGCAGGATGTTTGATGTGGGCGGTCAGCGGTCTGAGCGGAAGAAGTGGATCCACTGCTTTGAGGGCGTCACAGCCATCATCTTCTGCGTAGCTTTGAGCGCCTATGACCTGGTGCTAGCCGAGGACGAGGAGATGGTGAGAGGCCCAGAGGTCACGGGGAAGGGAGGGCAGGGGTGAGGGGTTGGGGGGTGGCTGGTGCTGAAAGCGCTGTCCTGCCCCCAGAACCGCATGCACGAGAGCATGAAGCTGTTTGACAGTATCTGCAACAACAAGTGGTTCACGGACACATCCATCATCCTCTTCCTCAACAAAAAGGACCTGTTCGAGGAGAAGATCATACACAGCCCCCTGACCATCTGCTTCCCTGAGTATACAGGTGTGGGGTCTGGGCCTCTGGGGAGGAGCTGGTGGTGACCAGGTGGCCCACGGGCGCCCCCCGCTGGACAGAAGGGTAAACTGCAGGATACTCACACACAGCTGGTGCCTCACAGGCTTGCACACTTGTGTCTGTACACCCCAGGGCCCTTCTTAACACACTTGGGCACGTACCCCATACATGTCACTGGGCATTGTCCCTCACACAGTCAGGTGCCCCTCTTTGCACACTCAGATGTGCCTCTCCACTCTCACAGTTGTCACACATACGTGTTTGTTGATTAACACACACAGAACCTTCTCTGTCCTTGTGGGATGGGCCCGCCTGCCGCACACGTTGCACGAGTCCTCACCATTTTGCCTCACCCCTCCAGGGGCCAACAAGTACGACGAGGCAGCCAGCTACATCCAGAGCAAATTCGAGGACCTAAACAAGCGCAAGGACACCAAGGAGATCTACACGCACTTCACGTGCGCCACCGACACCAAGAACGTGCAGTTCGTGTTCGACGCTGTCACCGATGTCATCATCAAGAACAACCTGAAGGACTGCGGCCTCTTCTGAGGGGCAGCGGGGCCTGGCAGGATGGTGAGCCAGAGGGGGCCGGGCAGGGAGGACCAAAGTGGGGCCACCGAGCCCAGCGAAGGGACAGGGTTGGGGCCAGAGAGCGTCCAGCTGCGGGTGGTGAACTTGGACACCTGTAGAGACCAGAGCGCGGGGTTGGGGGGGCACAGGGTGTTGAGTCAGGAGGGTGACCAGGTTGGGCACTGAGCACGTGGCACAGAACAGTCCGGGCTCTGTTCTGCCCAGTGGTCCAGATGGTCGAAGCTCTGGGCTGTGTCCTGGGACAGAACTGGAGGGCTGTCCCCATTTTCCTTGGTGAAAACTCACGTTCCCACCCACCAGGCCACTGGCCTGGCCTGAAGGATCGAGATGACAGAAGGGGCCCAACTGCCCTCCACTCAGCACGACCGGCTCTGTGCTCACCCCTGCCATCTTTCCCTTGGACCCATCTGAGGGTCCAGGGCTGAGGCTGGCCTCACCAGCCCTGGGAGCGGTGGGTGGGGAGGGTTCTGCCAGAGCTCCAGTCTCCCCTCCCATTCATTCTTAAACAGGGGTTACAGTGTGTGTGTAACCCAGCAACACACATTGGCCACCATGTCCCTGGTAACAAGTGGGTGGGGAAACTGGAGAAGGGTCATTGTCTAGGGAGGTGGGCAGAGAGACCTACACTGGCTCCCTCCCTCCCGACCCACGCCCTGACTGTCCCCTACCTCCAGGGCCACCGCCGACTCCGCTACCCCAGCCCCTGAGGAAGATGGGGGCAAGAGGACCACGCTCCCCGCCTGTCCCCCTGGCCGCTTTTCCCCTCTTTCCTCTCTGTTCTTGGCTCCCCGCCATCCCCGCCCTCAGCTCCAGAGACTTGGGGGACGGGCTGCCACAGGCCTCCCTGTTTGAAGCCTGCCCTTGCTCCAGGTGCAGGGAATGCCCGTAGCCCCTCCTGGCCTCCTTTCTGGTTTTAACCATTGTTTTGTTCTGTGATGGGGGAGGGGAGCCCATGCTGAGTCTCCCACGGCCTGTGTTTGTTTGGAGGGGCACCACTTCTCCAGCCTGGGACCCCTGGCTTCGCCCAACACCAGCCCCTGACCCAACCCGAGTCCAAATGTTTACAGGGAGCCTCCTGCCCACCCCCATAACCGCCCCCCACCCACCCAAGCCACTTGGAGGCCCCAAGGAAAAAGCACAAGAAGCGTGAGACGCCACCATTCCTGAAGACCACAGTCCACCTGCTCATTCTCGTAGCTTTTTTTTTTATTAAAAAAAGAGAAAGTCAAAGGGAAAAAAAAAAAAGAGAAAACTGCAAACCTAGAAAACTTTTTAGAAAAAACTATTTAAAACTGTCAGATCCTGACCAGCACCCACCCAGCCCCTTTCCGGTGATTCCGTGCCTTGAGCGTGTCTACGTGTTTACACCCATCCCTCTGCTGGTTGCCCCCTGTGTGGGTGGCACCCCGACCCTGCCCTCCACAGAATTGGGTTCCAAGGGCTGTTCAGACAACTGCCAACGTCACTGAGGGTCCCACCCCAGTGGCCCTGGGCCCTGGCTCCATTAACCTAAATGTAGCTCCTTAGCGCTAACCTAGGAACCGCTGCTGCCTGCTGAGGGGCCATGCCCCTCATGCCCTCGCCCCAGGCCCGGGTCCTTCAGCGTTGAACACTTCCTTGCTTTTTTCACATGTTTTATGGAATTGTTCACCTGGTTTGAAATAATAAAACGTAGAAAGAAAAAAAAAATTCCAAGACCTGCTCGCCATTCTTCTCTCATGAGGGCAGAGACCCAGGCTTAGATGTGCTAAGGTGATAGTGGTCTGGCTCCGGATCCTCACTGGTGGCAAGGCCCTGGGTACTCAACTGCCAGGTCATACTGAGGCCCAGTACTCATCGTTTCAGTTTTCCCCCTTGGATTAGTCATCTTAACGTGTTGGGGCCTCTAGGTCTCCCCCTTGACCCCCAGCACTTCTGCAGTCTTGGGTCTGGGGGAGCCTTCTGGAACAGTGGGGCCGCTTTCTCAAGGAATTCTCCTAAGGGATTCTTCCACACTGGGAGAAGGAGGAGTGTCCAGTGAGTCTCAGGCTTTCATGAAGCTATGGGAAGTGCTCGTGCGTTTCTGGAGGGAATGGCAGATGACAGTGCTTGGGTGGCTGTGGGTGAGCCCCGAGAACCAGGCAAGGTGCCTGGCCTTTTCTGCCCTGGACCACGGGGGAGCCAGGAGCCTTGGCAGGGAGCTAGCTTAGCCCGTGGGGAGAGGTCGGTGAAAGGCCCTCCTCTGCCAGGCGGGGTTCGTAGACGAGCTCTTCCACCTTCGGCCGCCAGAGGGCGTGGCGGTCCGCGCTCGGCCCCGCCGGGCTGGTCACGGAGGCTGACGTCATCGGGTCCTGCGGAGGCCGCGGGCCACAAAGGCAGCTTTGTAGGGCGGCGGCGGGACAAAGCGGCCCGGGCCGGGGTCGGCGCCTCCGAGGCGGGGAGGGCGGGGCCGGCGGGAGAACACCGCCGGGGACCTAGGACCCCGCCTCCGCACACCTGCCAATCCCCTCTCGGTCTCCGGGCCCCCGAGTCCTGGCAGGCGATGAGAGGCTGTGGCCGCCCCGACGGAAGGAGTTCAGCGGCCCCCCAACCCCTCCCCGGTCCCTCGGGCCTTTCCTGCTGCCCTGTCTCTGAGGGCCAGGGAGCACCAACTGACAAGGAGAACAGAATCCCACGCCCAAGCCTGGATCCCTGCTTGCCTTCAGCAGTCAGCCCTGGACCCCGCTGAACCCCAGATGCGCGGGAAGGGAGCAGTGCAAGCTCTGGTGCCCTGATATCCGCCCAGCAGGAAGCAGGGGCCAGAGATAGTTCCTTCCTTCCGTCCCGAGGGGGAACCCTGCACAGAGGAACCATTGAGGAGCTGGCATTGTCTGCCTGATGAACCCAACGTCTCCCTCCCTGAGTGGGCCATGCAGGATTCTAGCCAGGATCCCCTTGTTCCCGGCTTGGCAGTGGGTCTGGGTGGGGTCCTGGCAAGCAGTGTTTCCCTGGGTGCAGGCAGCTAGGCCCCCACCTGCCCTTGGCCCTCCTACCCCTGCTCAGATTTTGAGAGTATAAGGCTTCATTGTCCCAGCGGTGGCGGGGGCGGCCTCTCAATTCATTCTTGTCTTTAGTGGTTGGGAAATTCCCAGCCATGGGGGGCGGTAGGCAGGGGATGATACATCCCAGGTGTCCTATACCCCAACAGGAGGGACTCCGTGAAGTTGACTCTGAGGGGTTCCCCCCATTGCCTAGAGCTGTCCGGGGCTGGACTCCAACCACCCTGCATCTCTGGGCAAGGAGAACCAGAGATTGATGCTCCTTCGCATGTGTCTTCCAGAGTTCTCCCATCCTTAGAAGGCCCATCTTCCTGGCCCCGACAAGAGGCAGCTACATCTATGAGGCTCAGCACCTTTAGACAGGTAGAGGACCCAGGCTTCTGCTCCCAGACCAAGCCACGGATCCCAGTATGAGGCAGGCTGTCTCCAGTCAGTGGGGACCGCCACGAGGCTCATCCACCACCCAGAGGGCCTGTCCCACTCCAAATAGTTGCTCAGACTACTGATGTGGTAGCAGACTATTTTTAACCCATTTTTTGGCGGGGTGGGTGGGGAAACAGCTGGGAAGAGAGAAAGAGACAAGCTCTGAGAGTCAGAGAGTTCTGAAGGATGTAGGGGACCCTGTGGGGAGAAGCCAGTCCAGGCCTGCAGTCACTTCCCAACTCCCCAGGGCTCGGGCTGGAGCTGTCACCCCCAGCAGGTGGGTGGAGGCCCAGATGCCAGGAACAGAAAGGGGAGGAGGCCCCATTAGAACTGGAGCCTCTGAGGCTGCAGGAGCTTCCAAGACCTAGAATAACCCCTTGGCCGTGTTCAGGGCAGCCCCATAGCTGCTCCTGATTTCCTCCAGAAAATCCTCCTACTCCCCTCAGAATCGTGCTCCCCACCCCGCACCCCAGAGTGCCAAGCCATTTATTAAGGCTGGAGAATGCAAGTCCTGACTCCAGCTACCTGGCCTGTGGCATGGCCAGCCAGATCCTAGTTGCCCCGGGGAGTCAGGGATAGGACGGCAGCTTCTCTTGGCTGAGTTCTGGGTTCTGGCCCACTCCCATACAACTGACCTCAATCCTTGGGTCTGTTGCCCTAAAAGAGATCCTAGGGGACCTCATCCTTGCCGTGGGGCTGTGCGTTCCCCCAACCCCCCTTGAACACGGAGAGGGGAAGCCAGCTCCCAGCACGCCTCCAAAGTGAAAAAGTGAAAGTTGCTCAGTCGTGTCTCTGTGACCCCATGGACTATACAGTCCATGGAACTCTCCAGGCCACAATATTGGAGGAGGTAGCTGTTCCCTTCTCCAGGGCATCTTCCCAACCCAGGGATAGAACCCAGGTCTCCTGCATTGCAGGCGGATTCTTTACCAGCTGAGCCACAAGGGAAGCCCACACGCCCCCAAGGAGAGTCTCAAGTCAGCTGAGGTCTGTATGCAGCTGTGTGACAGTAAGTATGTCCCTGGCTGCCAGCCAGTCAGCGCCTCCGTTAACCACACAGCGACAGGCACTAGTGTTCAAGGGGCCAGAGGTCAAGGCTATGGATCTCTTTCTTTTCCCTGCTTTGATTCCCCCCTTTGCAGGAGACACAGCCTCACAGGTGATCTTATTTAAGAGAAAAATCAGTTGTACATTCCTTGGTATTTATCCTGTTTTCTGACCTCATTGTGGGTGGAGGGAGTCAAGGCCTGAGTGGCTGCTGCCTGAAGGAGCCTGAAGTCTGTCTTCTCCATCAATGCCCCCCCAGTCCTCACCCAGGCTCAAGAAGGTGGCAGGGCTTCCTGCAGGCACTTCCTCTATCTCTTGCTTCCCTGTGCCTGGTGGCTTCCCAAGTGATAGTGGCTGCTGGGGATCCTAGAGTCCTGCAGAGTGGCCTGGACCTGGTGTTACAAGCATCCAGGCTTTCATGGAGAAAGGTGGGTAGTGAGTGATGAGGAAAAGTCCAGCGGGTGGCAAAGGGGAGGGCAGAGGGCACAGCCTAAGCTAAGTCCTGGCAAAGAAGCAGCTGCCACCTCCCAGAAATGGGGCAGCTGAAGCGCTGGCAGGGTCAGCCAGGGCTGAGCCAGGGAGGGGTGTGTGAATGCCTGGCTAAGAGCCTGTGATGTCCCCAAGCTGGAGGAGCTGGGGCAGCAGGGTAACCGCAGAGAGGAGGCAACGGAGGAGGTCTGGCAGAAAGACCGTGGGGACCACCCCCAGGTGAAGGGGCCAGGCTTCAAGCTGCAGGGCAAGGAGGTGGGGCCTCATTCTGTCTTAAAGGAGATAGAGGCCTCTCTGACTTGGGGCTTTCTGGAGGGCGGAGGGTGTGGGCTTCAAGCACTGCTGGGGGTGGGTTGGAGACTCATGGAGGAAGACTAAGGAATCCTAGGCAGCTGGGGAGGGAAGGAGGTTTGGGTGGAGGGTCAGAGTGCTGTCCTGGGGGCTCGGGGTGTGGGTAAGGGAAGAAAGGGGACAGACAGAGACAGGAGAGAAGTCAGGGCAGAGAAAGGGCCCCGTGAAGCTGGGCTGGAAGAGGCAGTGGTGAGTCTCCCTCGGGCCTACGGGCTTGCATGCCACAGGATGCCCAGCGCTGAGATGGCAGCCAGAGCACGTACCTGTGTACCCTACCGAGTGCCAGACCTGCCTGGCCCCCCCTTTACTACCGCGGGACAAGTGAGGAGAGGGGACTGAGAGGTCCAGTCTCCCCCTAGGGACACACAGCTGGTGAGCAGCAGAATCAGAATTCAACCTAGCCACTCCCCGGCTACTATAGGGGTGGATTCCTGAGACGGGCCTCCGGTCCACCCTCCCAGAGCCGCCCGAGCCCCCATCTGGCACTCCCCGGAGGCTCTCCCACCCCACCACCCCCCTGCCCAGCCCCCAAGCCGAGGGAGGGAAGGTAGCATTTATGTTAACGTATGTTAATGAAGGCTGGGTGCCACCGGAGTCCACCCTGCCGCATTCCTGGCACCTCCTCCCCCGGGTTATGGAGAAGGAGGAGAGAGGGAAGCCCCACCCCCTAGGCCCCTCTTCTCTCTCCCCACCCCCTCTCCCCCCTGCTGGGCAACGAAGAAAACAGAAGTGAGTGAGGAGCTGTGATGTGGCTGGTGGGGGGGGGCTCCCCCCGTCCCGGAGGGGCTGACCTCAGCCTGGGAGGAATGTGCAGGAGGCGGAGGGCAGGGGCGGAGCGGTGGGGGTAGGGCCCCGGCTAGAGGCCCAGGCTTCCCGGTGGCCCCTCCCTCAACCCCTCCACCCAGGCTCTGACATGGCCCTCAGAAGGCAAGGAGGGGAGGAGCTCATTTTCCCGAAAAGGTGGGCCAACGGGGGTTCCTCTGGGAGCCTGGACACCAGGCTGGGGGTGGGTGAGGGCAATGCTAGACAGACCTTCCCGGGAGATTCCCTGGCGTGGCTCGCAGAGTGTCGGGGAAGTCAGGCCTCAGTTGGGCTCTCCAGGGCCCGCTTTCCACCGCTTATCCCCCCTTGCCTAAAGTCCTCCTCTGGTTAGCACGTCCTAGTCCCCACGTGGCCGGAAGAGGGAAAGGTCGAGCCAGCCGTTGGAACCACCAGCCCTGATGGCTAAAGCAGGTGTGAGTGCGGAGCCAGGACTCAACCCAGCCCAAGCTGGGCACTGAGAGGGTTGGCTGCAGTCTTCCATAAATGGATGTCCCACCCCAGCCCAGTCACAGCACCACCGAGTCCAGGCAGGGTGCAAGGGGCACGCCCAGCTGAGAGTGAGGACTGTGGAGGCAGGTGCTGGCATTTGGCATGACAATCCAGTTATTTCCAGAAGGAAAAACCAAGGCCCTAGCAGGCTGTACTGCTGACAGGCAGCACCAGGCACTGTGCCTCCCCTGGTTTCTTCAGTTCTGTCGAGACCCAGGCCCAGGCTGTGTGAATCCAGAATCCTTGGGGACTTCCAGAGCCCAGTGTGACCCACTGACCCTAGAGGGCTGGCTCCATGAAGTCCCTCCCCAGGGTCTGCATGCTCTGGGACCCGGGACTGAGAAGCAGAAAGGAGACCTCGTGGGGACAACCTGAGCTCTCACTGCTGGGGATCTCCCTGCTCCGGGGACATCTGGAAGCTGGAAGGCAATGCCAAGGACTCACGTGGACCGGGGGACAGCCTGATCCTTTTGGCTGGGGGTTGAGTCCCAGGATGTTGGAAAGACGGGGGCCCGGCAGGGGGGGTCCTGATCTCATTATCCAATATGGACACTGGGTTATTGAGGGAGGGGCATGAAATAGAGCCTGGGACCCTGGGCCTGAAGAACCAAAAGCAATGGGGTCAGGTAGGGGGCACCGTGGGGTTGGGTGGGGACCTCAAAGGCACTTGCTGATCTTGGCTGCTTGGGTGGAAAATTGTAAACAGCCAAAGAATTTTGTTTGCTTGCATGGGGCCAGAGGAGGCTGCCCAGACCCAAAGCAAAAGAGCCTGGGAGGAGGGAGAGAGGCCACGTGCTGGAAGTCCTGGGGCTCAGGCAGGGTTGCGTCCCCCCACTCTCCCTCCTGAAGGCCCCTGGTCGTCCCACGGATGCCCACCCTTCACTGCCAACCAGTCAGCGAGACCAGGCCAGAAACACCAGGCCTGAGGCTCAGTTAAGAGAGGCAGGTCCTTCCCCAACCCGGCTCGGCACAGACACCTCTACTCCAGGAACTTGCAGGAAATGCACCAGAGAGCCATGGTCTCCCTTGCAGACCCCCGAGGAGTTGCCAGTCAGCCTTGGGGAAAATGTAAGAGGATGCATTTTGAGGAACTGAGGGGTGGAAGATGCCTGCCCTCAAGCCCTGGCATGTTTACCCAGGTGCACCTGAGGACCCCCTTGGCCATGGTCGACATTCAGCTCCTCCAAGGAAGTACCCCTGGCAGTATCAACAGGGTGTATCCCCCAGAGTCACCTTTAGGCCAAGGTCATAGACCCTTCCTAGCTGAGGTGCTGAGAAGCCCCCTCCTGTCCTTTTTTTTTTTTTTCCATTTATTTTTATTAGTTGGAGGCTAATTACTTTACAACATTGCAGTGGTTTTTGTCATACATTGAAATGAATTAGCCATGGATTTACATGTATTCCCCATCCCGGTCCCCCCTCCCACCTCCCTCTCCACCCGATCCCTCTGGGTCTTCCCAGTGCACCAGGCCCGAGCACTTGTCTCTTGCATCCAACCTGGGCTGGTGATCTGTTTCACCCTAGATAATATACATGTTTCGATGCTGTTCTCTTGAAACATCCCACCCTCGCCTTCTCCCAGAGTCCACAAGTCTGTTGTATACATCTGAGTCTCTTTTTCTGTTTTGCATATAGGGTTATCGTTACCATCTTTCTAAATTCCATATATATGTGTTAGTATACTGTAATGGTCTTTATCATTCTGGCTTACTTCGCTCTGTATAACCTCTCCTATCCTTGAAGCCCCCTGGGGTATCTCACTCTGGTGAGGCAGACCTTGCCTGCCACCTACACCCTTGGAAGAAAGACAGTCCACGGACATGGCACAGAATGCCCCTCACCTCCCAACACAGATGTGGGACCGTTTGTCAGGACCAGTCTCTGAATGGGTCCAGACCCTGCAGTGCCCAAGTCAGACTTAACTGCCAGCCGCCACCCTGCCCCTCGAGCCCTCTTCTCCCACCCCACACTGGCCGTCATCAGAGCCGCTGCAAGCCAGGTGGCAGAAGTACTAAGTTGCCCAAGCCCTGCGGCAGGGTGGGGGCTGGGTCTCGGGGGCCCATCAGATCTCCACTTGAGGACCCCTTCCCTGACCAGCCCTTCTCAGCAGACTCCTGGGGACCCAGGTGGCAGCTGAGCCACCTCATTCCCCGCCTCCAGCTCCCAGGCTGCAGAGGGTCTGCCCGTTCCCTCTGCCGGCTCACAGCGCTGCCCGGGGCTACAAGGTCTCTAGTGCTTCTTCCTTATTTGCCCAGACGGCCTGCCCCACTTCCAGGACCGCTGCGTGGGGCATCCTCCAGCCGTGAAGCCCCACAGGGGAGGGGTCGGCCCCGCACCCCCCCGCCCCTCGTGCCCGCTCCACTCTGGCCAGGCCACCAACTCCAGCCGGTCCCGGCTGCCCGCCCAGTCACCCGACCCGCCCCGTAAACTTGACGGTGGGGCGGGCGCAGCTGGCTTGGTGGGGGCGGGGGCTGCTCCTTAAAGGAGCCGTCGGAGGGTGCCCTGGGGCCCCTCGGCTTCTCCGACCTTCTCCAGGGTGAGAAGAGGCAGCGGGGTGAGGAGCCACTGCTACCGGAGCTCTCGGTGGAGTGCGGGGAGTCAGCCTGGCGTCCTGGGATGCCGCAGACCTCCCGGGCCTAGAAGAGGCAGTGGCAAGTGTCAGCGGCAGGAAGGAGGGAGGTGGGAGTCCTGGGGTGGGAGGGGTCTGGAAGCGGCGGCGGAGCTAGGGGGGCGGTTTGGGGAGCGCGGTTTGGGATGAACATGCCCCAGCAGCTGCGCCCCTCACTTGATCGTGCCCCAGGACCTTGCCCCATGCCAGGGCTACTGTGCCCGGCACCTGCCCAGCCAGCTTCTGGGAAGGAGGGTGAGCACTGCAGCCAGAGCCTGGCCCCATGTGAGGGGTCCAGGGAAGACAGACTCTGGCTCACAGAAGTGGTGGGGCTCAAAGATGGGGAAACCCTTGAAGGCAAAGACGGGATGGAGAGGCTGAGGGAAACGCAAGAGGCTGGAGACGGAAGGACAGCTCCCCTGAGCTGCTGGGGGGTGAGAGGCTGCCCCAGGCCCTTGGCTCTCCCCGCTTGATTCCTCTTGGGTCTGAAGTCTGAGATCACAGCATTTCTGGGTGTGATCGGCCCCTCCCGCCCTCTGGGTTGGGGAGAGAGAGGTCCAGCGCAAAGCTGGGGCTGCCAGGTCCAAGTGGGCGCAGCTCCCAAATCAGAAATTGAGCCGTCAGCCCAGCCCTGGGTCTCCCAGCTAGCTGCACTTCTCCCTCTGAGAAGTGGGCTTCCCGGGTGTCTCAGAGTTGAAGCAGTGATGGACACTGCAGTTATATTTGCTCACCTGCATGTCAAGAGAGATGTGTACACTTGCACCCACATCCATACACACACATGCGACACACATGTACATGCTTACAAAGTGTACACCCCTGATATGTACATCCTGCGTACACATGCGTACAATGCCATGTGTGTGCACACACATGCATATCACACCTATGTGTACAATATAGCACATATGCCAGATGGTCTCACATAGGTATCTGTAGATATGCATGCAGACACACACAATACTTAGATGCCCAATACAGCTACACAAAGGACCCACAGAAGCACATTCTGCTCACAGGCACCCACACTATCAGCTCTTGCTCCAAAGGTGCCTCTGTCTCTCTGAGGACCCGTGGGTGCACAGCCTCCTCCAGAGGCATGACCCCCTCTTGTTACACTCATACCCATGACCGGCTGGCTTTGCTCCTTGCACTTGGTACATCTGTAGGGACTGCAAGCAACCCGAATCCTCGTTGGTCCTCTGCCTCCTCCTGCAGGGGGGACCTTGCCTGTGTGCCCCAATGCCCCTAGCCCCAGTCCCCGGCTGGCATGAAGTAGGCGCACTGACTCGGTGAATTAATCCCTGTGGGTGTGTATACAGGAGGGCGGGTTCCTGGCGAGGGTGACGTGGTGGGGCGGGCGCCTGCCAGTGTAGGGTTGACCCCGAGGGTGTGCCCAACGTGGGTGTGTCTGCGATTGTGGCCAGACAGGGCACCCCGCGAGGGAGAGGAGGGCTCGGAAGTGGAATGCGACCCCCCAGCCTCTTTCCCTAGGGGCTGTAATCTGATCCCTGGGGACTCCCCCCCCCCCACCCCCAGCCTCCCGCCCTCACCCCTTGCTGCAGCTCCTTCTCCTCAGATCCCGGGGCAGAGTCCAGGGCGGCTCAAGGCTCCTCCACACGCGCCCGCTGAACCCTGAGCTCCCTGAGCCGCGGGGATGGGGCGGGCCGAGGCTGCCGCCATGATCCCGGGCCTGGCCCTGCTCTGGGCGGCAGGGCTGGGGGGTGCTGTCCCCAGCACCCCACGCCTTCGCCTCTCCTTCCAAGGTAGGTGCACCTGGCAGGCGGGAGGGAGGAGAGGGGCCCAGGGTGGGTAGGGGGCATTGTGTTTGCTGTCACCCTGTGTGTGTGCCACCCAGCCCCGGACTGTGGGGCACGCTCAGGCCACCTCCAGTTAACCCTCTCCTGGCCTCAGTCCCCGAGCTCTCTGCCCACATTCTCCTCATGCTTTCCCAGGAAGACCCCTTCTGTCCCCATGGCAACAGATCCTGCCTCCACTCCATCCCCTGCTCCCAGGAAGGTTGAGATGGGGGGGCGGGCATCAGAGCCGCCTTCCCACACCCCCTCTACACAGGGTGGTAACTAGGCAGTGGCATCATACTGAACTTGGGCAGGTGGCAGAGAACCCTCAGCCTGACTTTGAGGTCTGGGTTCTGGCTGGCCCAACATGCAGCCCTACCCCAGAACCCTTGCCTGCCTGTGCACCCGCCTGGAGACACTGCTTGTCTGAGCACGCCCTGGAAGCTCTACCTGCTTCCCCCATGGGGGTGGGGTGGGGGGGCTGCACTGCCCACCCTGGCTGCTTGGCCAGCCCCTGGGTGGGCCTGTCCTCCCGAGTTGTAAACGCACACGCATGTAAATCCACCTGTGTGTGGGCCGGGTCATATGTGCAACCTTGACCTGGAGGAAGCTTCTAGCATGACTGGCGAATCCTCAGTGGTGTCCGCACCCCACAGAGCTCCAGGTTCGGCACGGTCTCCGGACCTTCAGGCTGGAGAGGACCTGCTGCTATGAAGCGCTGCTGCTCGATGAGGAACGTGGGCGCTTGTTTGTGGGCGCCGAGAACCACGTGGCCTCCCTCAGCCTGGACAACATTAGCAAGCGGGCCAAGAAGGTGCCAGAAACCCCACCACCACCCAGCCTCAGCACCGCCCCCCCAGGAAAGAGCCCCGGGGAGCTTGGGTCCCCGAATGGACACCCTCAGCTTAGAGACTGTGCCCTGTGTTCGCCCTCCCCACCCTCCCCCTAGCTGGCCTGGCCGGCCCGTGTGGAATGGCGAGAGGAGTGCAACTGGGCTGGGAAGGACATTGGCGTGAGTGTTGGCTGCCCGGGTGGGAGTGGGGCGGGTCAGCCCCTCACTCTAGCGATGGGCAGTGCTGAAACAGAGGGCTGCCTGTTCTGGCTGGGATTGGGGGCAGGAGGGTCGAGGTGGCTGAAGTCCGGAGGTAGTGAGTCAGGGTGGGGGGCTCATGTGATTCTTCTTGGGGGCCTCTGAGTCACGGTGGACAATGCAGGCCTCTGCTTCCCCATGAACCCATTTCTGGGGAGAAGTGGGAGGGCCGGGCTGGTCCCCAAGGGCACCCGTGTCCGTGTCGCCCACGTTAGTACTTGCCCGGGCTGATACACTGAAGAAGAAGGGGTGGGGGCACCGCTGGTGAGCGGGGACCCCTTCAGACCACCTCCCTGAGGGAGGCCTCCTTGTTCCTGACCCTGCCTGCCTGCATGCTAGACCGAGTGCATGAACTTCGTGAAGTTGCTCCATGCCTACAACCACACCCACCTGCTGGCCTGTGGCACAGGGGCCTTCCACCCTGTCTGTGCGTTTGTGGAGGTGGGCCAGCGGCTGGAGGTAAGGCCAGAGCTGGTCAAGGAGGGAGGTGGGGAGGGCAAGGAAGGAGGAAGGGCTTGCACGGGTAACTCCCTGCTACCTCCCAGGAGCCCATGCTCCGGCTGGACCCTCGGAGGCTGGAGGATGGCAAGGGCAAGAGTCCTTATGACCCCAGGCATCGGGCTGCCTCCGTGCTGGTGGGTGAGTCCAAAGGCTGGGACCCCAGGAGAGCTCCTGGAACCCGCACCGCCCCCCAGAGACTCTAGCATCTCTTAAAGTCTCAAGACCCTCCCTAGAGCCCCAGGGATCCCCCCAAACCTCACTGATTCCCCAAGAGCCCCCAGAGCTCCCCCAACCTGACATATGAGACTTTGGTTTCACTCAGCAAGCCTTGCTGTGTCTACAGGGGAAGAGCTGTACTCAGGGGTAGCCGCGGACCTCATGGGCCGGGACTTCACCATCTTCCGCAGCCTGGGCCAGCGTCCAAGTCTCCGGACAGAGCCTCATGACTCCCGCTGGCTCAACGGTGAAAGGCTCGGGGGATGGGGGTGGGGACTTTTGGGAGGGGGCCCTCATCTCCAACACAGCAGGTGCTGATTAAGGCACCTGACGTCCAGAGGCCTATCCTGGGTCAAGCCCTGCACTCAGCACTGGGTCAGAGGGTGAGACAAGATAGGTGTAACCCATGCCCTCTTTGAGTGCAGACCTCAGAGTGAACACACGATAAGATCAGTTCCCATGGCCAGGAGATACCCTGAGAGAACGGAGAAGGGAAGAGGAGGCTAGGTGGGAGTCGTGCTGGTGGTGGTGGTGGGAGGGTTGGGGACAGGAAGCCACTCTGCTGGAAAGAGGAATGAGCTAATTCCCAGAACACAGCAGGATTTCGGGAAGAGCATTCCAGGCAGAGGGAAGGATGAGTGCAAAGGCCCCGGGGACAGGAACAAGCCAAGGAGCGGACTCTTGAAGGCAGCAATGATGAGGGGCCTGCCCTCTGAGGAAAGGGTAGGGCCAGAGTACCTTATTCTAAGAGTGAGGGGACCCAGCAGAGTATTTGAAGCAGGAGTCAGGGCATCTACTTCCCGCTAGAGAGGAAGATTCATAAATGAAAGCAAAACCCAGACACTCAGGATCGCTCCTTTCTTGGTGCGCTGGCAGGGAGGACTGCCAGGGGAGGGGAGGGGTGAGAGGCCTGCCGCTGGCCAAGGTCACCTGCCTGTGAGCCCAGGTAGCCATGGTCTCTGCTGCCCTCTCGTGGCTGCATCTTGACTCGCAGGCCCTCATCTTCTTGATTCTGTCCTGCGGAGCCCTTCGAACTTGCTTCTGGAGGTGGGGTGGTCAGTGGCTGCCCTGAGGGCTTCTGCTGGCTTAAAGAGAAGGGGAGGCAGGGCCAGGACCTCACTGACCCCTCGCCTCCTGCTGTGGCCAGAGCCCAAGTTTATCAAGGTCTTTTGGATCCCGGAGAGTGAGAACCCGGATGATGACAAGATCTATTTCTTCTTCCGTGAGTCGGCGGTGGAGGCCACGCCGGCACTGGGACGCCTGTCTGTGTCCCGCGTTGGTCAGATCTGCAGGGTGAGGCCTTCCTGGGCCACATTCAGGGATTCTTCCACAGCCCCTTTGCATGTCGGGGCCTCACCCTTATCCCCTCCTGTTGGCCCCTGCAGAATGACGTAGGTGGCCAACGCAGCCTGGTCAACAAGTGGACAACGTTCCTGAAGGCGCGGCTGGTTTGCTCAGTGCCCGGTGCCGAGGGTGACACGAACTTTGACCAGCTCCGTAAGCAGCAAGAGTGGAGGATGGGGTGGGGGGCCGTGAATGCAGGGCCATAGACCCTGGAGCCTGGATCTGCACCCTCCCCCAACGTGGTCCCTTCCCCACAGAGGACGTGTTCCTGTTGTCCTCGAGAGATCGCTGGACCCCGCTGCTCTATGCTGTCTTCTCCACATCCAGGTGAGGTGTGGGAGGCAGTGGGCAGGGCGGCCCGGGCTCCACTGGAGCTCTTCGCTCCACTGACACCTTCACCTGCAGCAGCATCTTCCAGGGCTCTGCCGTGTGCGTGTACAGCATGAATGATGTACGCCGGGCCTTCCTGGGACCCTTTGCACACAAGGAGGGCCCCATGCACCAGTGGGTGTCCTACCAGGGACGTGTCCCCTACCCCCGGCCTGGCATGGTGCGTAGCCCAGGGACTGCCTCCGCAACCCAGTTAAACCTGCAGGGTGGAGGACTTGACTTGGGGTCTTCTTGGTGAATGTGGTTTCTTCCTTTTCTTTTTTTAATGGTTGGGAAAACATCCTCTTCATCAGACAGGGTTCCTCAGGGGAAGGTCATGATTCCCCCTCAGATTCCCAGGGCAGGGCTCTGTCCAATACCCGCCCCCTCATACACACACTCCAAGTTCTGGGAGGTCTCCTGTGGAGGGCTGCCCACCCGGCCTTCTTATCCACATCCTTGTCATGCCTCCTCTCCACCTCCCAGTGCCCCAGCAAGACTTTTGGCACCTTCAGTTCCACCAAGGACTTTCCTGATGATGTCATCCAGTTTGCCCGGAACCACCCCCTCATGTACAATTCCGTCCTGCCCATTGGTGGGCGCCCTCTCTTCCAACAAGTGGGAGCCGGGTACACCTTCACCCAGATCACTGCGGACCGTGTCGCAGCTGCTGATGGATACTACGATGTCCTCTTCATCGGCACAGGTCAGGGTCCTTCCACGACCACCCACAAAACCCAGCGCAGGCTCTTTGGCCTATTAGTGGAATTTCCCTGCATTCAAACCCATCTCCATATGTTTCCCGGGGCTGTGTCCCCCATCTCCTTCTGGATGCTGCTCTGATTACTCCAACCCACATTTTTCACCTCTCCAGCCGTGCTGTGGGTGGAGCCATCAGAGGCAAGGAGACCTCTGGCCCTATCTGTTAGGGGGCACATAGAGTCACCCACCCTTCTCATTCTTGCAGATGTAGGCACAGTGCTGAAGGTGATCTCCGTTCCCAAGGATGGCAGGCCGAATGCCGAGGGGCTGCTCCTGGAGGAATTACACATGTTTGAGGTGAGACCTAGCCCCCACTGCCTGGGGGACCCCCACCCCATGGAGCCATGATCCCAGAGCCCTTCCTCCTTCTCAGGATTCAGCTTCTGTCACCAGCATGCAAATCTCCTCCAAGAGGGTAAGTGACCAGAGTGCTTGGGGGTGGAATGAACCCAAAGTGTTCCCAGGTGCCCCTACTCCCATTCTTTTGGTAATGATAAGCCCCAATTTCCGTTTTGAGGACAGGCTCTGCCCTCACTAGACTCTGTGACTTGAGACCCCAGTGTTCCCTTTTGTCAAAGGGGGGCGGGGGGAAGGATTCCTGACCTATGGGAGGTGAGAACTGGGCCTCCCTCGGTCAGCCTGGAGCCCTTATTCCCTTAGCACCAACTGTACGTAGCCTCTCGGAGCGGGGTGGCCCAGATCCCGTTGCACCGCTGCGCTGCCCACGGCCGTGCCTGTGCCGAATGCTGCCTGGCACGTGACCCCTACTGTGCCTGGGATGGGGCCAAGTGCACTCGCTTCCAGCCCAGTGCCAAGAGGTGAGCATGGTCAAGGACGCGCTGCCTGGAGGGAGTCTTAATCCATCCCTGGCTAAAAGACGGGCTCACGGAGCCTCTAATGTTCCCCATCCTCAGGCGGTTCCGACGGCAGGACGTAAGGAACGGCGATCCCAGCACACTGTGCTCCGGCGGTGAGTGTCTCAGCCGCTGTCACCCCTCAGCGCTTAAATACTGCCCCGCCCTGTCCTGCTTGGCTTGAATCTGACATTCCCTTTGCCCCCAGACTCATCCCACCCTGCGCTGCTGGAGCAGAAGGTGCTGGGTGTGGAGGGAGGTAGCGCCTTCCTGGAGTGTGAGCCCCGATCGCTGCAGGCGCACGTGGAGTGGACCTTCCAGCGCGTGGGGGAGTCGGCCTACACTCAGGTGAGCCTCCCCCACCCCCTCCCCAAACAGGTCCTGTTCCAACCCTAACGTCCAGAAAGCGCCACCACTGATTAATGAGGCCCTTGGCCCGCTCCGCATGTCTACATGCGATCCAGCCCCGCCCAGTGAGTCTCAGCCCAATCAGACCCCTAATGTCCAGTTTGGTCCCTGGCCCGCACTCCACATCCAGATGAGGCCGCATTCCTCTAACTAGGCGCCTGACATCCTCGCCCTGTCAGAGAGAAGCCCCGCCCTTTCCCCGCCCACCGAGGTCTCCGACCCGCCCTCAAGTGCAGATAAGCCCCGCCCCCGCCCGTTCCTTTAAAATCCTCTCCTCCGCGGATCCACCTGCAGGTGCCTGTGGAGGAGCGAGCGGAGCGTACGAGGCGGGGACTGCTGCTGCGCAGGCTGCGGCGTGGGGACGCCGGCGTGTACCTGTGTGCGGCGGTGGAGCAGGGCTTTTCGCAGCCACTGCGTCGCCTGGCGCTGCACGTTTTGAGTGCCGCACAGGCTGAAAGACTGGCCCGGACCGAGGATACTGCGCCAGTCGCCCCGCCGGGCCCCAAGCTCTGGTACCGGGACTTTCTGCAGCTGGTGGAGCCCGGCGGCGGTGGTGCGAACTCCCTGCGAATGTGTCGCCCGCAGCCCGCGTCGCGCCCACAGGTCCTTGAGTCACGGAGGAAGGGCCGCAACCGGAGGACACACGCCCCAGAGCTGCGGGCTGAGCGGGGCCCGCGCAGCGCAGCGGACTGGTGACTTGGCCGTCCCCACGCTGGGGACTGGGGAGGCGGCGGCAGGAGGGAGAGGGGGCGCTCAGACCCTGGGAGATGGCTAGGGGCCCGTCGTTTCCTGATGGAAGGACGACACCGACCGACAGGCCCTGGCCAAGGGGCAGCCACGCTGGCTTATTTATTAACAAGAGGATAACCCTTGAATGTAACCCCGATAGGGGCGGCCCAGGCTGGGCACAGGGTCCGGCTGGTCGGGTGGCGGCAGAGAAGCAGGGTTCCCCGAGCACTTGGGTGGGAGTGGTGCCCGGAATGCCCACCCTGGAGGAAGGACCACCTCTTTGGGCAATGAGCAGAAAGCTGTGAACAGGCTGGGTGGGTGGGGTGGGACAGGCCGACTGTACTAATGCAATAAACACATTTTCAGCCAAAGCTGGAATGGCCCCAGCAGACAATCGCTGGTCTTAGTGTTACCAACCCAGGTTCTTAGACTCTTTAATCAGTAGAAGTTGATAAGAGGCCAGATGAGAAATTCAGGCAAGGCTTTATTGGGACTCATGTTGCAGAACAAGGGAGTGAAAATAAGCCACAGGTGCCCAACAAGCAACAGGTGCTCTCGCTTGCTTGCAGGGAGGAGGGCAGGAGGGGCGAGTGGGTTCCTTAAATGGGGTGAGGGTAGGGTCACATCCATGGTTCAGGCAGTAGGGGTGGCTTAGGTGATCAGCCCACCCCCTTGTGGTGTGGCAGTTGGTTTTTTGGTCTTTCTTGTGTCTTGTTTATAATTTGCCCTAGCCACAGGTGTGTACAGTTACTTTTAGTTGCTTACAGTAGGGTTCCCCAACCCCCAGGCCTAGGACTGACACTGGTCTGCGGCCTGTTAGGAACTGGACTGCACAGCAGGAAGTGAGCAGAGGGCAAGCCAGCAAGCAAAGCTTCTTCCTCTGCCTCTTCCCACTGGTTGCATTACCAGCTGAAACGACCCCCATCCCTCCCATCTGGTCCCTGGAAAAATTTGTCTTCCACGAAACCAATCCCTGTTGCCCAAATGGTTGGGGAACCACTGCCTTATAATCTCTTTGTAGTCTCTTGCCCCAGGAGATGTTTGTCCAGGTGTTAAGTACCGCAGCAAAGGGTCCCATGTCCCAGCCTGAGGGGTTCTACACCCCTTATGCTTGAGGGTTAGGGGCTGAAGGTCTCTCTTTCTGAAACCGCAGATCCTAACCTACCCTAGAGGTGTAGAAGTCCCTCGCTGACTGCTTTCGGGGACCTGGGTTCCCCTCAGCTGGAATGGGTTGAAATCCTTGAGCCATTGTGAGCCTTACTTGAAAACTGTTGGGACCTAGAAGACACAAACTTAACCAAGGGGTTAAACAGACAAGGGCCAAAAAGGAGAACAGTAAAAAGCCACTAGAGCTGGGGTCACCAACCTCCAGGATCTAATAACACCTTGACGATCTGAGATGGAGCTGATGTAATAATAGAAATAATTGAGTCAACCTACCCCATGTCCATGGAAAAATTATCTTCCAGGAAACCGGTGCCTGGTGCCAGAAAGGTTGGGGACTGCTTCACTCAAGGGTCTAGAAAGGGAAGGAACTAGGATAACTTTGAGAGGGCTTCCCTAACTGCTGACCAGACAGCGAAGGCTACAGTGCCCCTGCCAAAATTGTGAAGCCATTGCTGCTTGGGTGTCTATTTCTTTAGCTTTTCTCTTTGCTGTTGCATTGATTTAGGTGCAGCAGGAAGTGTTAGTTATCCAAGAATTGTGCCTTGTTCTGTCAGAAGGTAATCAAGAACTAGATGGTTATCAAGAGGTAAATACATTAACCCAAGTAACGAGAGAGGACTTAAGTCCTCTTAAATCTTGCTCTGTCGGTTTTATCACAGAATTAAGCTGTCTGGTGAGATTTCTCAGTGTGGCTTCTTGATAGGGGAAGCTACCCCATGGAGCTGCCAGTCCTGTGGCCAGCCCTAGGAAGTGAATGTTATTATTTATTTAAGTATTCAGTGGCAAACATGTGGGATCTGTGATTTTCCTTGCAACATGTGTGATCTAGTTCCTGACTAGGGATGGAACCTGGGCCTCTGGCATTGGGAGCGCAAAATCTTGGCCCACGGGACCACCAGGGAAGTCCCTGAAGTGGACATTTTTAATGCAGTTATAGGCCATAGCTTGGACTTTCCCAGTGGCTCAGCCGTAAAGAAAACTCCTGCCATACAGGAGACATTGGTTCAGTCCCTGGGTCGGAAAGATCCCGTGGGGAAGGAAATGGTGACCCACTCCAGTATTCTTGCCTAGGAAAGCCCATGGACAGAGGAGCCAGTGGGCTACAGTCCATGGGGTTGCCAAAGCGTGGGACACCACTTAGCCACTAAACAACAAAATAAAGCCCCAGAAGCACCAATTTTCAATTTGTCGTTATAAGAAATGACCACAAGGCGGCAGCATTTCTCCCTGCCCATCTCTTGGCAGAGCCTTAGGGGAAAAGTCCCATTCCTGGGTTGTAACTTAAGAGTGGGATGTGCCAGAAACACCACCCAAGGGCTTATGTCTTATTTCTTCCACTTTACCCTTCACCACTCCCAGACAAATCCAAACCCCTGCAAAACTGCTACAGTGAGGGTGCTGTGGGTACTCTTGGTAGGGTGAGTCTAAGTAGGAAGGTTGGAGGTGGGAAACAACCCCGCCCCCGACTAGGAGACGTGAAAACCAGGTGACTTTACAAAGCTCTCCAGCCCTGGGACTTTCCTGGCAGTTCAGTGGTTAAGACTCACACTTCCAGTGCAAGGGGCCCAAGTTCAATCCATGGTTGGAGAACTAAGATCTCTCATGCCATGTGGTGTGGCCAAGAAAATTGGTTTTTTGTTTGTTTTTTTCCATTTATTTTCATTAGTTGGAGGCTAATCACCTTACAACATTGCAGTGGTTTTTGTCATACATTGAAATGAATTAGCCATGGATGAAAATTGTTAAAAATAACTAAAAATGTCAAAAAGATCTAGCTCTCAGAATCCACCATCCTTTGGGTACACTAGGCTTGGTTTAGCTATCGGAGGGTCTGACTGGATCTGGAGATTGTGATCTTAGGGGAGCAGGCACTACAGGGCCAAGTGAGGTTCTCTGATGACACAGCCTCCCTAGCCCCCGTAGCTTTACCACCCTCCATCCTTGAGACCAAGCCTGCTCAGGCTCCAGGGGTGTGACACAGGCCAAGGTGCCTGAAGCCTGAAAAAAAATAGGTATTTATTTTCTTTTGTTAATTAAATTTTTATTTTGGCATATACTTGCTTGATCATGTACTGTTTGTTCAAGGTATCCAGCGAAATGATTCAGTTATACATACACATGTATCCTTTGTGTGTGTGTGCGCAGTTGTGTCTGACTCTTTGTGACCCCGTGGGCTGTAGCCCACCAGGCTCCTCTGTCCAAGGAATTTTCCAGGCAAGAATACTGGAGTGGGTTGCCATTTCCTCCTCCAGGGAGAATCCCAACCAAGGGATAGAACCCAGGTCCCTGTGTCTCTTGCATTGGCAGGCGGATTCTTTACCACTAGTGCCACCTGGGAAGCCCTGTATCTAGTCTTTATTCTTTTCCCATGTAAGTTCTGACAGAGTTGTAAGATAGTTGTAACTATATACAGTAGGTTCTCATTAATTATCTACTTTATATAAGTATGTATGTGTTAAACACAACCTCTGAATTTCTCCCTCCACCCTGCACGACTTCCCTCTTTGTAACCCAGTTTCTTTTCAAAGGCTGTGAGTCTGTTTTGTCAGTTCAGGATTATCAGTTTTAATTTATTTTTTATTTTTGGATTATCAGTTTTTAAATTCTACCTATAAGAAAGATCACACAATATTTGTTTTTCTCTGTCTGACTTAGTGTAATCATCTCCTGGTCCATCTGTGTTGTTACAAATGGCAGTATTTCATTCTATACCTGTGGCTGAATATATATATATGTGTGTGTGTGTGTGTATATATATGGCATCGATATCAAGCTTTAACCTGGCAGTGGACAATTTGCTGGTTCTGAATCTAGGCTACTGTAAGTAGTGCTTCAGTGAACATTGGGGTACATGGTGTCTTTTTGAATTATGCTTTTCGCGTAACATCAGCCCAGGCATGGGAATGTCAGATCCTAGGCTTAGCTCTCTTGAAAGTGTTTTTCAGGCATTCGGAGACTGTCGTTCATAGTGGTTGTTGCCAAGGTACATTCCCACTCACAATGTAGAGAGGTTCCCTTTCCTCCAGGCTCCCTCCCATATTTATTGTTTGTTGACTTTTGATGATGGCCATTCTCACTGGTGGGATTTGATTTTTCGTTGTTTTGATTGGCTTTCCTGTAATTGGGATACTGACCATCCTGTCCTGTGGTGGTTTTGTTTTGTTTTTTCTCCTTAAAGGAGAAAAATGTTGCTGTTGCAGTTGGGTTCTTGAAAGTCACTTGTGTTTGGATTTTATTTCTGCCGTACTCATCCAGGACATTTCCTGAGGGCAGCTGTAATTAAGCGCTCCCAAACCTCGTAAGTTGGAGGTGCCAGTAAGCACGTTGTCCCACTGTAGTTAACAGAAATATCACTTTTTCACACCCACCTCTGGTTCCTTGGGCAACCAGAGCCTTAGGAAAAGTTGGCTTCCTAGGCTGTGAATTTGAGTGTAATGTGGCTGAGCAAACACCCGAGGGCTTGTATCTAATTATTTCTCCCCTAAAGCCCCCCCCTCCAACTCTTTGCCTCCAGAATAATCTCAGCCTGGGACACAGCACCCTGCTGAGGTGCCTAGGAGGCTGCACTTTCAGGAAGGAGGCTTGAGCTGGGGACCCTAGCACCAGGAGACATGGAGGAGGCGGGGTGACTTTACCAAGGTCCTCAAGACCGGAGGGTTGGGCCACCATCCTTTGGGTGCACTAAGGTTGGTTTAGCTGCAGGAGAGCTGACCTGGACTGGGGGACCCTGGTCCCAGCCAGAGCAAACCAGACACTACAGGTTTAAGAGGGGGCTCAGTTAAGGGCACCCCCACTGGCTGTCTCGAACCCACCGGCCATTGACGAAGTCTGCTCAGGCCCCAGGGATGTGATTAACCAGCCCAAATCATGCAGGCTGCAAGGAAGAAACTAGACATTGCTCTTCTTTATTTTCATTTCATACAGATGATATGTTGGAATATAGTCAATTTGCAACGTTCTTTTTTGTCAGGGTGCAGCCACCTGAATCATTTACTACATATTCATACAGAATATCTATTCTTTTGGGGGTTCTTTTGCCATAGAAGTTACTGCAGAAGGACGAGCAAAGTTCCCTGTGCTGAATATCAGGTCCTTGTGGATTATCTATTACCGATACATATTTCTCTGTATATGTTAATCCTCACCTGCTAATTCATCCCAGGCCCTACATCTTTGTGTGTGGGTGTAAAACCCTATATTTGTGTTTGAATTCTGAGAGTGTCCTTTTGTTTTATAAATTTCTTTGTATATCTTTATACATTTTGCCTAAAAAGGACATCATATGCTATTGTCTCCTCTGTCACTTAGTATATGATCCTCCAAAGTACATCCATGTGGCATAATTTCATTTGGTTCTTTATGGCTGAGTAATAGTCCACTGCATATATTTACCACATCTTCTTTAATCTTTAACCTGTCGGTGGATATTTTGCTGGTTCTGTGTCTTTGCTATTGTAAGCAGTGCTGCAGTGAGCGTTGTGGTACATATATCTTTTTGAATTATGGTTTCTCTGGGTAGAAGCCCAGGGGTGGAAATATCAGATCCTAGGCTTAGCTCTCTTGACAGTTTTTTTGAGGCATTCGGAGACTGTTATTTGGAGTGGCTGTTGCCAATATACATTCCCACCTTCCAATGTGTAGGGGGATTCCCTTTCCTCCAGGCACAGTCCCGCATTTATTGTTTATAGACTTGTGAGGATGGCCAGTCTGACTGGTGGGATTTGATGTCTTCTTGTTTTGATTGGCATTCCTATAATAATTAGGGATGCTGAGCATCTTGTCCTGTGGTTGTTGGTGTTTCTGCACCCCCCCCCCCACCCCGCCGCTTCAAGGCTGTAAGGAAAATTGACCTGTGGCAACTGACTTCTTGAAAGTTGGTTGTGTGTGGA